CTGGCACTAGGGGACAATTTAGCACGGCCAATCCACCCTAACCTGCATGTCTTTGGGCTGTGGGAGGAACCCGGTGGAATCCCACGCAGACACAGTGGGTGGGTGGGGGGATGGGCGGAGGGGAGAACATGCTCCAACTGGAGATGCGAGACCAGTGGTGGCACTGTGGGGATCAGCGCTGGGACCCTGTAACTGTTTGTATTGATGATTTGGAGGTGAACGTAGGTGGTCCAATGAGCAAGTCTGCGGACGACACAAAGATTGGGAGAGCTGCAGGACGGCGAGGAGGATTGCCAGAGGATACAGCAGGATGTGGACAGGCTGGAGGCTTGGGTGGAGGAATGGCAGATGGAGTTTAATCCAGACGAATGCGAGGTGATGCATTTTGGAAGATCTAACGCACGAGGGAAGTATACAGTAAATGGCAGGACCCTTAGCAGCATCAAAAGTACAGAGGGATCTTGGCATTCAGGTCCTTAGCTCCCTGAAATTGGCAACACAACTGCAAAAGGTGGTTAAGAAGACGTATGGCATTCATTGGCTGGGTCATAGAGTATAAAAATTGTCAAGTCGCGTTGCAGCTGTATAGAACTTTAGTTAGGCCGCATTTGGAATATTGTGGGCAGTTCTGCTCAGTTCCCTACCAGAAGGGTGCAGAGGTTTTGGACAGGGTACAGAAACGGTTCACCAGGACGTTGCCTGGTTTGGAGGGTGTTGACTATGAGGAGAGACTGGACAAACATGGCTCGTTTTCGCTTGAATGGCAAAGGATGAGGGGTGACAGGATAGAAGTTCACAAAATTATGAGAGGATGCGATAGAATGGATAGTTCGTGCACTTTTTCTCAGGGTTGCTGGAATGCACTGTCAGAGGTGATGATGAAGCAGATACAATTGCAGTGTTTGAGAGGCATCGTGACAGATATAAAAATCGTCAGGGAATAGGCGCACTGTACAAAGGCTAAACATTTTTCAGTCCAGAACATGTGACAGAGTCAGCACAGGCTTGGTGGGGCTGAAGGGCCTGTTCCTGTGCTGTACTGTTCTTTGTTACTTCTCATGCGCGTGCCCACACACACACACAAACACACAGACAGACACACATAAACACAGACACACACAAACACAGACAGACAGACACACAAACACAGACAGACAGACACACAAACACAGACAGACAGACACATGAACAGACACACACACACACAGACAAACAGACACGGACAAAGAGACAGACATACACAGACATGCAGGCATATGCGCACACAGACACAGACACACAGACATGCACGCGCACACGCCAGAGGGGTAGGGTCACTCCGGCCTGGGCAATGGCATGTAACTTACCATCCACAGAATGGAGCCACTTGGCTGCTCCACCTGCTGGGAGCCACTCCACCGAGATTTCACCGTAGCCAGCCCAAAGTCTCCGATTTTCACAGTCAGCCCCTCGTGCAGGAAGATGTCTGAGGGGATTGTGTGAAGGAAACACTCCCTGGCGTAGGAGAGACGCACCCAGGCCGCCATGCTGACCCCTGACCCAACCCTCATACCTCCAGGGACTTTGGGGACCCAACACGCAAACGGAGCTGCTACGGCGATGCCACTGGACGTGGGGTAGTCGGGAGGCGTTTGGTTAAGACCCCCGCGTCAGGGTAAAATTGAATCTCGTAGGACTGGGGTCATGGATCATTGGCAGACGGGAAGCAAACAGTGGGAATAAATGGGCCTTTTACCGAGAGGCACCCAGCGATAGGCCGGTAGCGCAGGAGTAAGCACTCGGGACCCCCCCAGGCCTTTCTCAGCGCTGATTCGATCAGGGAACGGAACATAAAACGGCCCCAGTCTGTCGCTGACGCTTAGCTGGGGGCGGGAGGAAGGTGCGTGAGCTGCAAGGGGGGGGCGCGGAGGTTGGGAGAGTTAAGGGAATGGGCAAGCGCGCGGCACATGGAGACAAGCTGGGAGGTCATTCTGGGAGCAAAGACAAGATATTTATCCGAGAAAGGCGATAGATGGCAGAAGCGGGGAGAGACGCGACAGAGGCCTGGGGGTACCCTGTGCGCCAGACGCTGGGAGTGAGCATCGCCGACGGTGTGGAAGGGCTAACGGCACATTGGATTCCCATCGGGAGAGGGTTGGAGTCTGGGAGCTGGAGGGGGAATGTCTCGCTGTGATTGTACAGGGGTGTGACCGCCCCCTGGGGGATTGTGGGAGCAGTTTCAGGATCTCCCTACCTGAGGGAGGATGGCTCTGGTTACAGAGCAAGACTGATCCCTGGGACTGACAGAGGAGGAAGAGAGACCGGATCGGTTAGGGACTACATTCACCGGAAAAAACGAGGAAGGGGATCCGATAGAAACCTGTAAAATTCTAACAGGAATGAAGTTCCTGTTCCCGTTGACGGGGGAGAAGGGAGTCCCGAACCAGGGGGCGGGTGGGGG